CAATCACAGTTGCAGCAATTTATTCACCTCCAAAGCATAATGTTTCCTACGAGAACTTTTCAAATTACTTCAACACAATAAACAATAACTTCATCATAGGTGGGGATTATAACGCGAAGCATCTGAGTTGGGGCTGTCGAGTGAACAACCCACGAGGAAATGTTCTCTCAAATTTTGTAAATACAAGAAAATTCAAGGTGCTTGCGCCTCCAGGACCCACCTATTGGCCTTCGTCCCGACACAAAAATCCAGACATATTAGATATTTTTATAACAAAAACCCCTTCAAATGTGCACTATGTCATCGACAATATTCTAGACTTAAATTCTGATCACTCGTCGGTTATTCTCACACTTAACGACATCCTGCAATTAATACTGAACCATTAAAATTATTTCACACCACTACTGATCGTTACAAATTCCATGACCTGGTAAACCAGAACCTTCAACTAAATGTCAGATTGAAATCCAATGACGACATAGACGCAGCTGTAAATAACCTAACGAATGTTATTCAATCAGCAGCCTGGGCGGCCAACACAGCTAAAAATGTACATAAAACCAACTCTAATTCGCTGCCGATTAATATCCGTATCCTAATATCAGAAAAGAGAAGAGCTAGAGCCCTCTATCAACGTACTCGCTTACCCTCCCACAAACAAACATACAATAACTTAGGCAATCATCTTAAAAAAGTCCTAGCAAAAATCAAAAATATTAACTACGAAAATTTCCTGAGAAAATTATCTACAAATAACGGTAGCCTTTGGAAAGCGTCCAAACAAGCTTTACATTTGAAAATACCCACTCCACCTATTAAAAAATCTGATGGGAGTTTCACTGTGTCGGACACAGAGAAAGCAGAACTTTTCAAAAATCACCTCTTTAATGTTTTTCAACCTCACCAAGATATTTTACCAGTCAACTCTGACACAATTCTCAGTGGTCTTGATATGCCTTTACCTCTATCTTCCCAAATTAAACATTTTTCACCGAGCGATATTAAATTTGCAATCCAAAAGCACACTCTTAGGAAGTCTCCGGGTTTTGACCTAATAACGGCTGAAGTAGCCAGATGCCTTCCTAAACGCGCAATCGTATTTCTAACTCATATATATAATGCCGTACTCAGATTGTCTTACTTCCCACTTTTATGGAAGTTCTCCAAAATCATACTTTTCCCAAAACCAAACAAGCCCCCTGACCTGGTAACGTCATATAGACCAATTAGTCTATTACCTTTTTTCGGAAAAGTGCTAGAAAGACTAATACTGAATCGCATACTTCCCATAATTAGTGAAAAAAATTTATTACCTAACTATCAATTCGGTTTTCGCGCACATCATTCTACAATCCATCAAGTACACAGGCTAGTTGATTCGATTTCTTTCGCACTTGAAAAAAAAATGTATTGTTCTTGTGTATTTCTTGACATTCAACAGGCCTTTGACCGTGTATGGCATGAAGGGCTGCTGTACAAGGTAAAGTCCTTTTTGCCCCCAACATACTACATGCTACTTAAATCTTATTTAACTGATCGTTATTTTCAAGTTCATTTTAAATCTGCATACTCAAACATTGCTAACATCAGAGCTGGTGTGCCTCAAGGGGGTATCCTTTCTCCATTACTATATAACTTATATGCTTCTGATCAACCAACATCCGTCAACACCATTGTGGCAGACTATGCAGATGACAAACTCATCATATCTACAAGTGAAAACCCCTTTGTAGCATCGCTTAATCTACAGAATCATCTTTCTCTTATGGAAACCTGGTACAAGAATTGGAGGATTAAGATTAATCAAACCAAATCTAATCACACTACGTTTACCCTTAAGCTAGGACACTGCCGGCCAGTCACTCTCTTTGGTACGCAAATTCCGTCCACTCCGACAGTCAAGTACCTTGGCTTAACCCTTGACCGTAGACTAACATGGGCACAACATACACGTGTTAAAAGACTCCAACTAAATCTCCGACTTCGTATGCTTAAATCTCTACTAGTCAATAACAAACACACCAACCTTAATATAAAACTACTAATGTACAAATCCCTCATTAAACCCATTTGGACCTACGGTATCCAACTGTGGGGAAACGCAAAAAAATCAAATACAAATCGCATTCAGACTTTTCAAAACATAACATTAAGAAAATTAACAAACTCCCCCCCATATGTTTCCAATCATACTCTCCACACAGACCTAAAAATTAAAACTATTAAAGAAGTAGCTGCTATTTATTATAAAAGATTTCATAAAAGGCTTGCAACTCACTCAAATCCTTTAGTCAAAACACTCTCATCAAATGTTATTCCGGGAAATCCTCCTAGGCGACTAAAACGCAACTGGTGCAGAGATATGCTGACTTAATATCATAATTTTAAATTTAAAAAAAAAAAAAAAAAAAAAAAAAATTAATCAATAAACATAGTGTGTGTCTATGAGAAAACCTAATTATAACCTCAATCTTAAGTGTCATCACTGGGTGGCTGCTTTTATCAAGCTTTTCATGTTATTTTGTTTGTTTATATTTTAGCTAATACTCTTGTTGTACCCTTGAGGTACAGATTGTGTATTTAATATTAATAAAGAAAAAAAAAAAAAAAAAAAAATTTTCTTGACTTCCTAGTTCCTCATAGGTACCTACATCATATTATTATATTTCAGTTTTGAAAACCATGATATAATACAATGTGTATCGTGTATTTGTGAGAACTAAAAACAGTAACAGTAGCAGTAAATCATTAAGTTACTTCAGCAAATATTTAAAATTTTAGAGAACTCAGACAACTACTTACTTACGTGTGTCGTGTTTGAACTATTCAACTATGAGACGCGAGTTAGACAATAGAGTATAGACCATGGCTATAGACATTACAAAATGTCTGTAAACCAAAAAGTCTAAAACTACAAACTTATCAGTTATTATTGACCTAGCTAGACATTGATAAGAATCGGTACGATGTGTTGCCTATACAAGTCCCTAACATAATACGGTAAGCGGAAAAGAAGTACTTATACAGATAAAAAAAATAGTGAAAAACGTACTGACAATCTTTTTCGTGTACAGTTCTACAGTTGTGCTTTGTAACAAAAATACAGAAATCGTTTGCCTGATGTGCATTTGGACGATTTACTGCTGTTGTCAACATCAAATACAACCGTAGGGCTGCATATAGTATGCGGTTTACCGGTGAATTTACGAATATAGTATGCGGTCTGCCGCATCAATTATACCATAATATTATGGTATAATTGTTGTCAAAAACGATGAATATTGTGCATTATCTTAAATAATTAAAAAAAAAATGAATAAATAAAAAATTTGTTTGTCAAAATTATTGTTGTCTATGAAAAACAAATATAATAATAATAGGTAATAATTTATAAAAAAAAAAAGGTGGGCAAGTGGGTATAGTAGGTTAAAAGTCTGTAACTGTATAATGTATAGTATTAAATTTGAATTCAATGATATAATATCATTGTATAAGAAAAACGATTCTGAGCGGAGATGGTATGTCAGTCTAGGTATAAGACATATTATATACATATCTATGATATTAAACAAAAAATTGACATATAATAGGTAGGTACCTATAATAAATTCCAAATTAATCATATCACAATATCCATTAGGTACTTATAACGCATTATACATCAACAAAAACCGTGATACTATCATAGATATATAATAGTACACTTTAGAAGTTTCAAGTACCCACGAATAATATTATTCAATCACAACAAAATAACTAAAATAGTTATTCTAAGTTTTTTAAATATGTAATTTCGTTCAAATTTGAATTTAAAATGTCTGTAGAAAATAACTTTGTTCATATATTTTTTAGATTTTTTGGTTACAGTATGACCTATTTATGAGAACCTTTGTTTTAAATTTGCAATCCTTAGCTATAAAAACTGAACATTTTATAATTTATTAATTACAATGATTGATAATTTTCGAGATTTCGATACATTTTGTCAAAATTTCAACTTTAAATGCTTATAAAAAAAAATTGTGTATATGTATTTTCAACGTTTTTGAACTGATATTGTAACAATATCAGGAGTCTTGTATTAAATTTTTACAGTTTTTGGCCCAACAGATAAAACTTAATTGATATTTATAGAAAAAAAAACTAAAAAAAAATTGAAAACTAAAAATGTCCGTAAACAGCTCAAAAAGAGTCAAAATTGTATGGTTCATAGAAAATCCTAATTTAAACATTCAGTGAAATTTCCATGTATCTACAGTTATTCGCTTTTGAATTATAACAAATTAAGGAAATCGCTACATGAGAAATCGAGTGAATATCCAATGTTGTAAAAATTTGAATTTCAAACGCTCATAAAAATTTAATTTGACTTTCTTATAGACATTTTTTTTTTTGATAAAGGTAGATAATCTTATAAGGATTCTTGTATTACATTTTCAAATCTTAGATTTAAAAAGAAAAATTTTCACAAATTCTTAACTCAAAATAATTTGCTAATTTTCGTGATTTTTCCATATTTTGTCAATTTTTGAACTTTAATTGCTTATAAAAAAAAATTATGCAAATATAAAAACAACCAGTTAAAATTTCATGTATATACGTTCATCTGATTTAGAGTTACACCAAAAACCAAAATCTATTTTTTGGAAAACCGATTTTGCGTAAAAATTCCCGTTTTTCCTTAATTTTTATGTTGTTTTTCCCGGCGCTTGTGAAAACTACTGTGAACTTTTTACTTTTGACCCCCCAAAGTACCAACTAGATTCACTTTCCTATCAGAAAAGTTACTGTTGAAGAAAATCCAAGCACTTTTACTGTCCTAAGACGTGATGACAGACACAAAAAAAAATAAAAAAAACACACATCATTGTAAAATCAATACATTCATCGTTTCACTCAGAATCTAAAATATAATTGTTAAAATGTATAATGTTATTACTTATTTTATATTCATATAGTCATAAAAAAAACAAGATTTTTCAAAAAATGCTCTGCAGATGGCACGAAATGAAAAACTTGCTGAAAACGATTTACATTGGGACGATGTAGCCGATTTAATTTTAAGATGCAGAAGGGAACGAGACATATGTTCACCTGATGATATATATGTACACCAAGCCAGTGACCCAATTGGTTGTCTATTTTTTTCTGTACAGCATTTTAACTCTATTCAAAGTGTTATCGATAAGTCCTCATTAGTCTTACATTTAGATGCTACTGGATCTGTAGTGAGAAAAATAAATGCAAAGGGCAAAAGGGTATATTATTATGCCGGTGTTGTGAATATAGATAGTAAATTAATACCTTTATTGAATTTTGTATCATCCGAACATAACATTGCGGCTATTAGCTGTTATTTGATGCGTTTCAAACAAAGTTTTGGACAAAAGTGGCCAATATTTAGGACTGTTGTTTTAGATTTTAGCATGGCATTGTTAAGTGCAGTTTGTGAATCCTGGAACAAATTGAGTTTAATTGATTATATTAATAATTGTTATAAATACTGCAAATCTGACGAACCAAATCAACAATTTATTGTTATACTGCTGTGTGGTTCACATTTTCAACACATGATATCTAGATGTGTCAAATCCATCACAAAGAGCAAAAAAATTCATGACTTTATTTTGGACTGTACCGCATTATTGATCATAAGTACAAATCTGAATTCAATAAGGACTACTATCCGATTAATGTTTAATATTCTCCTAAATCGGAAAAAAACTTTGTGCTGTGCTCACAGTATGAACGCGTTAAGTGATCAGTGTCATTCGGTTAAAGCAAAAGAACCAACAAGCAATGATTACGTTTCTGATGACGAAGCAAAGTTTATCTATGGCAACAGCAGCAACTTTAAAGAGAAAAGTATGTTTTATGTTGATTTTGAAAAAATGTATAGAACTGTCTCTGATACATGTAAAATAACCGACAATTGTGAGTTACTACCCAATAATGAATATTATTGTGAATTGTTTGCAAAAAACTTTCTGAATTTGTATTTACCATTCACTTGTATGTGGACAAGATTGATGATGCCACAAGAAGTTATGTCAAAATATTCGGTTAAAACTGTTACAAACGGTAATGTAGAAAAGCATTTTGATAACGTAAAAAATTCTTTGATGAAAGGTGAAACAAATATGAAACTTGGTCGTTTTGTTAATAAAATTCAAATTTACACTGAAGCTGTGTGTAAAGAAATAAAAGATAAAATACCAAGGGTATTATACAAACGTAAAAAAAACCAAATACAAATTCCATTTAGACATTTTTTAACAGACCATAATTATGCATTATTGAGTTCACAGTTTAATAAAAAATGTAAACAGAGTAGCTCAGAATGGGATGATGGTAAAACATTTTACCCTGGTATAAACGATCAAAAATAGTTCAAAGTCATTTTAGTCATACTAATATTCAACGGTTGAGTTATGATTGGCAGTATAAAAGTACTGAAACAGTTGTTCAATATGATGATGATCAAAATGGACAGGATAAAATATTAAACTTACCTCGATATTCCAACCACTTGTTCACTGATATTAAATATTATTCTCCGTGTTTAAGTGAACAGTATGTAGTTGGTGTGTATTCGGGTGAAGGTTATAAGTGTGTCACTCTGTATGGTGAAGATTTTCGTAAATTGCAAAACAACACCTGGTTAAATGGAACTGTGATTGACGCACTGCTATTGACTTATGTGAATAATGAAATTGGTTATATTCCTGCGGAAATAAGCAATACAATTTGGTCAAGTACCAAAGTTAAAGTAGCCAAATTTGATTGGACTAAATACTGTGTGTTATTTCTATCTATCAATCCTGAAGGTAATCATTGGACTTTATTTATTATGGACTTTTTGGGTTGTGTATTTTACTTGGATCCTCTGCGTCCAGAATCAGGTGACTTGTACTTACCTCGATTAAAAGAAATGTTGTTTTCAATGTGTGGTAATGAAAAAGCAAAATATTTGCTGCATAAAATGGTTCTTAAAAATATTGAGTATCCTTTACAGAATGATAGTAACAGTTGTGGAGTGTTTGTGTTGTATTATTGTAGTACATACAATCCAATGTTTACTCAGAGCTTTTCAAAGGAAATTAATGTGAGTGATTTAAGAAATACATTGCAGAATCGATGTTTAATGTACTCTGATAATATCAGTGAAAGATGCCTTATGTGTGCACAAAATATAAAAGTAAGTTTTACTTGGATTAAGTGCAATACATGTGAGCGAAGAGTTCATAATGTGTGTGTAGGTGGTGTAGGTATGCTACAAATTTATGACTAAAGAATTGAAAAATGAAAACTTCACTTGTATCTTATGCAATAAGTATATTAATTAACTAGGTACCTATTTTATAATTACAAAATAATAAAGTACAAAATAAAAACTAATATAAAATAAAGATAAACAAACTAATACAATACCTATTGTAAGTAATGAATGGTTGGTTACATAAGTTGGGTGTAATTTATAAATTACACATAGAGTAAAATGGAATCTATTACCTAACATAAAATTGGGTACCTATGTAACTAAGTCATATCTTTAAAAGTGGGAATTAACTAGGTAGGTAGTAAAAATGTTTAAATTAAAAAAAAAGTTAATTGTTTTAAAATTAACTTAAATTCAGAATGTAACCAGTTAAATTTATTATTTATTAACTATCAACTTTTGAGTTAGAACAATCTTGTGTTCACTTAACTTAGGTTATCTTGAGTTAATTATATTCATTAACATGCCCACAATTGCAAATCTTAGTGTTAACTCCACCATTGACGGTCCTCAGTCCGTATGAAAAAGGAGGAAGGGCGCTTTAAAGACATTTTTATTTTTTAATTGAAGTATTAAAAATTAATCATGCCTCTCTTGGTTTTAAAGTAATGTATTATTCTTTTAAATTGTTTTTAAATCTTAATATTGTTTTCTATATTGTGTTTTTTTTTATTTTGAAGGGTATACCATACTGCTATTGTCCAACTGTGAAGAAGTAGGTAGCCAATTTTAATAGTGCAGATCTTCGAAGACCAGGATGTGTAGACGTGTATTGGAAAATGGCAAAATATACATAGTTCAGACTTTAGAAATTTAGTTAGAGATGATTTATGGAAATTGGATTCATTAATCTTTGGACATTCAAAGTAACTTTATGATAAACATTAGTAAAACCCTAATAAATGTATTTTTTTAATTTTGTAGATTATACCATACTACCATTGACCGACTGTGAAAAAGTAAGGTAGCCAATTTTAGTAGAGCAGATCTTCGAAGACCAGGATGTGTAGATGTGAATTGGAAAGTGGCAACATATACCTAGTTCAGACTTCAGAAATTTAGTTAGACATGACTACATGAGTTATGGAAGTTGTATTCATTAATTTTTGGTCATTCAAAGTAGCTTTATGATAAACATTAGTGAAACCCTAATAAATGTATTATCTATCTAATAATTGTATTAAATATAATTAAATAAGATTTTATATTTAACTTATGATTAATACAGCAAATAACTAAATTACTAATTGGTACAATTTGAATATTCCAATTCAAAATTGTTCAAAGAACTTAGTATTTAAATTTTTCTAAAACAAATAATAATTTGATAATAATAATATTAATAATGACACAGTTTAACACTTAAACCATAATAAGGATCAGTGGTGTTCCACAGATTCTGATTTTTTTTTTAAACTGTATTCATTACTTTTATAATTTTTAATGATAAATATGTATGTAAACTATTTTGAGCTATTTATGCATTGTTTAATATACTATAAAATGTAAAAACTTATATAAATACTGTTTTATTTTACGGCTGTGTTACACAAAAATGTTATAAAATATTAAGTGTTCAGACATTCAAAAATGTTATGAATATATTATACATAAAATGTTATATACATTATTATTTATATTATTGGTACTAGAATATTATTACTTTTTTGAGATGTTGATCATGTTTAGTGTAAAAATATAAATTACACTTAAGTAAACGGGGGCTGTGAAGAAAATTAACCGATAGTGTTATACAGTTCATTAGTACATAATATAGTCAGAGTTGTCAATCATAAAGTACTATTAATTGTATGCGTATATTAAATATGCATTTATTATATTGGTATGATTGGTAGTAATTTGTTTTGAATTTAGCAATATAACTTCAGTAATATTTATATGAGATAAATATTTCAATTTTAATGACATTGAACATAAACAATAATGTATAATGATTTATTTCCATATTTAATTATTCAAATAATGAATTGTATATGTAAGATTGTTTATTTAAGTTCAATAAGCCGACATGTATGGCGTAGAGCCTAAGAGAATAATAATGAATAATAAATTAACAATCTTATATAATGCTTACCTGAAACTACCTAAACACATAAATAATACATAAGTATATAGTTTAATATGTTATTACTTTTTGTCTTACCAGTTACTATGTAAAGACTCATAAAACATATTCGACATAATCTAAATACCACATTACCACTGCCTAATAAATATACTAAGTAGTACACAATATGATTGGAAATTTATGTCATTATATTATATTCAGTTGCAAGGCCACATCCAGAAATTTTTTTCGGAGGTGGGTCCTTTATATGTTTAATTTATATGTTTTGATATTTGGTTGAAAATAAGATATGTTCAAAACATTTCGGCCTTCGGGGGGTAACCCCCCCAGGTACGGCAATGGTCAGTTGTGAAATTGTATTTGTATATATTATAAATATTAAATATTTTTAAATTCAGCGGCCTGCGATAATGTTAATTGTTGTTTATTCCAAGCCAAACTGATATGATATTTTCATCCATGAAAGTGATATAAACCGTTTTTCTAGTGATATAAACCGTTTTTTTTTCTAGTGATATAAACCGTTTTTATTTACTGTCTGGTTATTATTATCATTGTTATTATCACAGATATATAAAAATACTAGATAGATAACTTGGAAATGTTTTTGAAGCCAACAAAATGGCCGAAATTCCCTTATCTAAGAGGTGAATGTTTACATTTTCATAATACTGATAAAGATATTATTGTTATCAATTTGTCATAATATGAGAGGATTCCGGAAAAAAAAATATCCCAGAAAAAAATCCCCGGAAAAATATCCCCCGACGAACAACCCGGGAAAAAAAATCCCCGACCCTATTATACATAAATAATAAAATATCATATTACAATAAAAATATATTACATCAATGGTTCGCGTTTTTAAATAATTGACAAAAATATGAAAATTACATAATAAAATGCCATATTACAATAAAATATTACATTATTACTAACGAAAACTTAATCTGCGGGCTGCTTTTGCGGTTTCACGTGCTACAAATGCCCTCGTCTTCGGTCTGTTTACTTCAGACTAAAAAAAAAAAAATTGTTTCTTTAGTATAAAATAATATGTAAAAATAAAATCGTATTACCTCAGTTTCGGCAGAAGAAGATAACCATCCCATTGCCAATTGTTTGACTGCTTTAATTTTCAAATCTGCTATTAAACAAATACCAGTGAACTTGAGTAGTTTTTTCAATTCTTGGACATCGATACGGGATAAATAATCTTCAACATTGCTTATTTTTGTATCTTTGGGTAACGGCATTTCCTTTCCAAGATACCTTAAAATATCACAGGCCTGACGTAATGCACTAGGTCGTGTGTATATATTTTTCACCTGAATAACTTCTTCCACACGTACGTTTTGCCAGCCCCCCCCCCCCCAAAGGAAAAACTGTAAACAAAGTATACAGATATTTAGCACGTAATTCTTACAAATTCGCACGACCTTCCTCCCCTCCAAAAACAAAAAAATCATTTTTTGCCAAGACAGATTTTTTATTCAATCAAGATATTTTCCATTGTACTTAGAATATTTTTTTATTAAATACAGTTGTCTATTAAGTTTTTTATTTAATATGGATTGTATATTAAAAATAGATTTTTTTTATTAACAACAGATTGACGCGGACACGATGATAGCTTCAAGGTTGATCGTGGTCCGGTCGCAGTGTTTGGTTAGGATTGAGGTGATGAAAAAAACACAACACAAGCACTTTAAGAATGTCACAAATTATGTATTATAATATTGCGACCAAAATATAATAATACATGACCTGCCGCTCGGGCAGATGAGTTTAACGTCGGACGATATGTTATCGGTCCTACGGTCCGCTGACCGTTGTGCATTTTACGCGACACAGTCCCCCGTTACGCCTTGCCGTTACCGGCTCGGTGGGAGAGTCAACCCGGTCGCGCTGCTTGCATCCCGTGGTGGTGGTTGGAGATAAGATATACTGGTCTTATGGATAAGTACTTATAAAATAATTAACTAAGTTTATCATTGTATTACCAGATCCCTCTATAAACTTGGGAGGACTTATTGCTTTCTGCGGGACGGCCTCTAATATTTTGTCTTTTTTAATCCTTTGAATAGAATTCTTTAAACAATTTTCATCATCAAATTGTTTTTTGAAACTGTCCTTCCTGGTTTCTTTTCCTTCGTTTGATGATGACAAGTCAGATGTATAAGTTGATTTAGTAGCTTTCATTTTAGCTTCTTTTAAACTTACTATAAAATTACCTAGGTAGAATTTTTAAATATTTTTCATATTGTTATATATTATATAATAATCCATATTCTTTAATAACATTAAATTATTTAAAAATGTTATACTTAAAACAATGAAAAAAAATGTAGATATAATAATATAATAGTGTGTTTAACTAAAACATTATTACTTACTGATATCTGTTGCCAAAACCCGGACATTATACGTCTATACCAGTTGTATTCATATGTATTTGGATGCATCATTTTTTCAATCCGTTTTTGCGGGTTGAAATTTGATTTGGGCCACGCACACTTAATGCCATCTTTTGATAGCCAATTACTAGGAACAGCCTCAACAACATTTTCATTTTTAAATACAACGACAGAAAACGTCATTTTTCAATAGGTCGTATTTCACTAAAATTGCATTTAAATTAGAAATAATTATACGGATACCTTTTCTTAATCATATTTTATTTAAATTATAATAGGTATATTATATTATTAAATACAGTATAGCTGGTATATATGTATATAATTATTATTTTTTAAATACCTATAAAACCAAAAATGTATTAACAACTAATTAGGTAGGTACAATTACTATAAGAACAAATAATAATAATTTTTAATTTAATATTCTGAATGTATAATTGGTAATGCTATGTTTTGGCCATCTTTTTCCAGCAGCATTACTTTTTGTTTAACATGTTTTAGAGGAATCCGAATTAGCTCATTTGATAAACTTTTAACTATGTATATATCTAAAATAGTTGATCTTAATGGTTGTTCGTAGAATGGTATCTTAATTAAGTATAATTTTCCAACCACTTCATTTGGGTTCATTGTATGCCCTATATTAAGAACTTCCATAATATTATTGTCTTTGGTCAATATAAAGCGATCAGCTGTAGACATTGTCTTAATTTTCATATTTTTGAAATGTTCATTTCTGTATTGTCGTGATGTCAAACCATCTAATAAAGGTCCATTTGAGTGTTCTTTTTTTAAAGTGATTTCTGTAGTTTCATTTTTATATTGAAAATGTTTATGTTCATTTGGTTCATAATGCCTTTTTATGATTTGTTGAAGTGGTTTATCTGATTTTCTTATCATTTTTTTCAGTGATTTCATGAAGTTTTCAAAAGGGTAGGTACTTATATTATCCAGGGAACCAAAATTGATGTAGTCGTCAGCAATATGTAGAAGGCCATGAACGTTATGGGAAATAAGATGTTTTCCATAAATTATTTCAAAATTTTTTACAAAATATTTAAGTAAATCTCTTGCATAATTTAAGTACTTTATTTCCATATTACTACTCAATAGTCATATCAATATTTAGTGACATAAAGTGTTTCCCACGCAGCAAGAATATATTATGAAAATATTTTCAACATGTCGCAAGAAAAATTTAAATATTATTACAAAATGTTAAGATTGTGTTCAGAAAGTTTTTGAATATTATCAACATATTGTCACATCATGTTTTGGCAGCGAAAATCATGTTTTCAAAATATTCAAATACAATATTGTTAACACATGTTAGTAAGACATTGCAACAATATTATGAAGTGTATTTTTTCAACATATTTTATGAAATTGTTTGTGACAATGTTGATTACGAATGTTGTGAATATATTTTTGTCATTTTTTGCCAAAATATTGTAAAATGACATTGCAACAATATTATGAAGTGTATATTTTAAACAAATTTAATAAATTCTTTGTGACAATGTTTGATCGTAAATATATTTAATATATTATTAGTATATGTTTCCAACAATATTATACAGTGTGTTAAACTCTAGCTCAATGCTCACAATATTATAAAAAATAATCAATTAATTATAATTAAAACAAATATTGTACTGTTGAACATACTAAGATACAATGTATTCTGTATAACTGTTTACGTTAAAAATAAAATATATAAAAAGAACAAAATAGTAAAAAATGTAATAATTAAATTATAATATTACAAACTTAAGTACAACAACTAGTATAAAATACAATATTCTTGTGAATAACATGTATGGAGCATAAAATGAAAGTTATTATTATTACATTGTAAAAATGAAATTATATAAAAAGAATAAAATAGTAAAAAATGTAATAATTAAATTATAATATTACAAACTTAAGTACAACAACTAGTACAAAATACAATATTCTTGTGAATAACATAATATGTATGGAGCATAAAATGAAAATTATTATTACATTGTAAAAATGAAATTATATAAAAAGAACAAAGTCCTATACAAATGAAAAATTTTAATGAGTAAATAAAATTATAATATTTCAAACTTATATTTACTATCACTTGTCAATAATTTTTTCAGTAGCCTTTCTTATACGGTTGGATGCTTGGGCCATCCAATTTTTTAGTTGCTTTTCAACTTCAACATTAGGTACTTCTGAAAATGGCTTCATTTGACGAATACTTTCTAGAATTAAACATATATATATACATATTAAATTAAATATGATGTATTTAACTGTTAACAATTAATTTTTCCATTTTCAAATTATATTCATTATAATTTATAATTAATAGTGCAGTATACTTCTACATAGCTCAACCAATACACAAGCATGGAGGAAATAAAAAATGTATAGATTTATATTAGTATAGCTTATAAAAACTAAATGTTTTTTCATTCAAATATTTTAATCATATAATAATTACCAAATATAATAGAGCAAATTTGAAGGGTAGAAAAATTTTTCTTGCCTTTGAAGCCTATATAGGAATACTTTGTCAATAAGTCATCAGTAAAAAGTGCTTGCATAATTTTCCTAACGGTTTCTGATAAATTTTGTCCTCTTAAACGAGCTAGTTCTTTAATCTATATAAAAACAAATGTATAGATTATAAAGCAACAGTTAAACTAAGTACTAAAAACTGTATTATTATTAGCACTTTTTTTCTATGGTTCATATCTGAAACCAATTTCTCTTCCATTTCGTTTAAGCACTCATCATTGTCCATACACATTAACACATTCTCCAATATATTCTCAGTATTGACAGATGTTGTATGATCGCATAATTTTTCATAAATTTTTTCTTGCATACTTATTAGAATGTCAAGGCGATCCTGTATATTTTTTGATTCATGTTTTTGAACAATAAGTTGTCTATTAACTGATTTTTGAAAATCTGTCGAATATAAAATTAATTACATTTATAAACATATATACCTAATAAATTACTTTTAATGAAATTATTTTTTTTAAATATTAGATTCTGAGTGAAGCATAATTATTTTCCATACATGGCAACTTTTTCGAAAAATTTTCACTAAGTAAAAAAGTTTGAATATTTATAGTAGCTAGCTGGTTCCTTAAAAGTTTCCTTAATGGAAATTCAAAAGTATGAATGATACATATCATAATCACGATAATTTTTTTATATGTATTTAAAGTTCAAATTTTGACAACATTTTCAAATTAATTTTGGGTTATAAATTTATAAAAGTTTTTATTTTCATAGCTTACATTAGTAATTTTAATAGAAGATTCCCAACAACTTTTTCTACCTACACGAAACATAAAAAGTTCATCGGATAGTTATGCTATTTAGAGCTATGAGATATTTTATTAATTTTTTTTTTTACTATTAAATTTGATTAATAATACTGTATGAAAGAATGACACAATATGTTTCTGTTCAGAATCATTTTTGATATGCAATGATTTATGATTGAATTCAAATATAACACATCCATTACAAAAACATGTTCAACAACAGTACATCAGTGAGCAGAGCGGTATCCACTTGTCTTGTCTAACTTTTTTTTTTTAAATAGCTTAACTAAACCCTAATAATTCATTATAGAAATACAATAATTACCTTTAAGTTGTTTTTCTAAGAAATTTTCGCTAACTTCTTTTGCTTCAACTGCAGGTGATAGTGATGTTGTTGATGAGGATGTATTAAGTTAAATTTTTTTATTGTTTGTTTTGTAAGTTAAACTATTTGTATCACTATAATATTCATGCTCTATTTGAGATGGTTCATGCACGTTAAACAAGTTATGTTCAACCTGAGAAGTATTGTATACTGCTTCCACTATTTCACAACCTTTGTCTTCTTCTAATTCTACTGTTGTAACATTATATTAAAAATAATAAAATATGCTTCAATGTTATAATTCATAAATTATATATATTACATAATAGTACTACATAGTATGATATCTTACCATCACTGGAGAACAAAGGTGGAGATGGTGCTTTATTTTTAATAAATTTAGTAGTACGATTCTGTGAGGATAGAGGATCATCATCAGTTTCAGTGTTCAAGTCAGAAGTATATTGTGCTTTTTTAGCTTTAGATCGAGCAACATTTATATCAGCTAAAATAAAATAAACAATGAATAGGTATTTTAATTAAAGTAGTTTAACTACATTGTTCAATAAATAATTGTTGTACTTACAAATATCTTTAAACAACAGGCGTGCTTTATACGAACTGAACTCATTAGGAACTGTGTCTGGATCAATCCTTTTTCAATAAAACTACGGACATTGGTTTTTTTTATTGGCCAAGCGCAATATTTTTTCTTCAACCAAAAATCTGGGATAAAATCAACGGAGTTGTCATCCGTAAAACAAACAATGCTCCACATGCTTCAAAATTTGATATACTTCTGAAATTGCACATTTATTTAATAATACCTAAACATAATTTATACAATAACAATTTAACTATACATACATAATAACTAAAATCTAAAGAAAAAGTATAATTACACATATTATTCATATTTAATAAATATAGTAATAAAAATAATAAAAATTTCACATTATTTAGTTAAGGTCATTATATATTAATCATTATGAATAATTGGTACAGCAGTAAGTTTATCGTTTAAACTAAACACTATCATTTTTTTTTTTATGTCTGATATATTCCATTGATTTAAATATTCTGATAAGTTATTAATTACATATATGTTCAATTTAGATGACATTAAAGGTTCAAAAAAAAGATCTTCTTTTTCAAGAAAAATTTTGCCAACAATTACTGTTGATTGGTTTGTTGATTTTTTCAATTCTACAATTTGTACAATTTCATTTAGATTAGTAAGGATGTAACAATCAGGTTTTCGATTTGTATAGTTTAATTTTTTATGAATAATGGGTTCAATAGATTCATTCAAACACTGTTCCTTATAACGTCTTATAACTTGCTGCAGAGGTTTCTCATGTTTACGTAACATTTTTTTTAATTGTTTCATATAGTTCTCAAATGGGAAAGTACTACATGCATCAAGAGCTCCATATTTAACATAATCATCACATAAATGAAGTACTCCGTGTACATTGTGTGAGACAAAATGTGCACCATATAAATATTGGAATGACTTCACAAAATACTTTAATAATTTTCTAGTATAATTTATTAATTGTAGGTTTCCTTCGCTAAGAAGAATTCTCATTGAACTCATTGAAACACTGAAGGCCAAAAAATTTAAATAGCATTCTTTAGTTAATACATCTTTTAATACTATAATTCCACTGTACAATAAAAATTGCCTGAATTCAGTGGCTTTCCAACGATTCACTTCTTGTATAGATATTGGTTTCCGAGAAAAATCACTTGTAATACAGGTTTTTATTTCGAGAAGAGACTTGGTAAGTTGTTTACACTTCCAACTTGGCAAACGAGTATTCATTGGGCCTTTACTTAACCAAAAATTTAATAACTTTTTAGTAACTCCAAGACAAGTCAAGTGCATATAATCCATAGAGAATATTTTGATAATATCTATACCAGGGATTAAAGAAAGGCAAGATATTGTTGAAGTATGAAACTCCTCGTTATTCATTAACACATAATCATTGTGAGTCCTTTCTATAGAATCATTATCATTGTATGGGAAACAAACGCGGTTATGCATATATTCACCTTCATGCTTACATCTTGAACACGATGAAAATCCCGAATGACTTTTTAACTCTCATTAAGAAAGACTTCGCGGGGGCATCACAACAAATCACTTCTATGGATATGTATTTTTTTAATTTATTGACAATAATTCCACTAGTTGTTAAATCTAAAACTTCTGATACCCAATCTTTTAGATAAATATTACTATCCTGAGGTTTTTCATTCCCATGATATATTCCCACCGGAAAAACATAATTTTTATAAGGATGAATGTATGCCAAAATTGGCCAAAATTGACTAGAGCTACTTTTAGATATTGGTAATCCGTCTACTCCAAGAACAATTTTTATTTTGTCATCAGAAGAAATAATTGAAGAAAATCTTGAAATACCAGCAGCTAAACCAAAATGGTAGTAAACTCCAGATCCAATTTTCCTTAGATTAGCAACTTTTGAAGACCCAGATTGAAACAATGTTCTACAATCTTTAGGAAGAAATTCTAAATTACAATTGTTTCTTAAAATTTGAAGAAGCGCATTAACTGAATTTTGAGGAACATTAAAATCAGTGGTCCATTTTCCAAGTTTTTTTTTTATAAGTTCTGGTGAATTGCAATTAATTTCTACAGTTGATTCATTATTAACACATATTAATTCTAAATCTAAAGAAGGTTGCAATTGAGTTTCTCTATAATTAATTGTAATATTGTGACCACCACTATCACTAACACTACTGTCACTTAGTTGTTGCTCTGGAGCATAGACATTTTTTAATAAAATATTTTGTTCATTATTTGATTCTTTCAATGGAGAATAAGTTATATCATCATTAGATGAATAAAAAGCTTGAAGTTCGTCTTGAATTTTTCTGCGTTTATTTCTATAACTTGCCATTGTAAATACTAGATTGAAAAGAAAAAAAATGTATATGATATATGATTTATAAAAAAATAATTAAATTTATTTAGACTATTATTATTATATTATTTTATTTTTTTATAACGTATATTGAGTATAAATGAATAAGGATATTTTAATGTAAATGTATGTTTTATTAAAGATGTAAAGAAATGTGCAGTTGTTTTGACCATGGAGCGATTAACAGCGGGTTAAAATAATTATTTCTAAACCTAACTATTGAATAGTCTGATTAATTAAAGTTATTAAGTTAAAGATAATTATTGAAACTAAAGCATAAAATAAACAAAATAGAATTTATAGCATACCTACATTAATCGTTATCTAAGTTGATAATATGATTTATACTAAAATCAAAATAAATTGTCAAATCATAGACGCTTAAAATCTTTATATATTGTATGTCTACATATTTCATAATTAATATACAAACTAATTGCAAAAATATGCACCAATTAAATAGGTAAATTTGTATAAAAAATATTTAAAATTAAATGGATTGAAAATACCCAATTATCAAAAATGTATTATTTGTAATTACATTGATTTGATTTGTGTTTACAAAGATATCAGAAGGTGCATAATACATAATAATATATTATTAGTTATTACTATTATTTATGTATTAGTTATATTTGAATAGTGAGTTAGCATACATTAAGCATTTGCAGTAGCTATGTTACATTGTAAGGTTAAGTAGTGACGCGGTCCCGCGCAAAATCTGTTTGAATTCAAACAGCCTTTGCGCGGAAGCCGCGCCGCGGCTTCTCAATCAAACCGCCAACCGACGACGGACGACGCCGGCGCGCGACACGCGCGCCTGGAACCGTCGGCCGGCCGTCCAGCGAACCGGATCGCCAAGGCGCGCTCTCTCGTCCTCACGACTCCGACACGGAAAGACCTACTCACGTTTCCGTGAACCCGATACCGTTGAAACACCGTTATACTGAACGTATATTTATTTTTGTTTTGTTTTAGTTCTTACTAATAAAACTCAGGCACACTAGTGCGTTTCGTTTGTTTGTTATTTTGTGATTGATCGTTCTGTTTATTTCGACCCGACGATCCTCGGTCGGTCACCACCATCACCTATTCACCTCACAACACCACGCGGCTCAATACAAGACCGCGTCAAATTGGCTCCCCGAACAGGAATCACCGGTAAGTGAAAACTTTCTTACCACATACTACCACCCCCAAACAAACCCCCGTTGCGCGTTTTGGAAAAAAGTCAACAACGCGATCCGGCAAAAACGTGGTTTGCAGGCGGTAACGGAAAAACCGGCGTTACGTAATATATTACATAACCATAAAGGACGTAACGACCGGCCGCGCCGCCCGACTCACGGACGCACCGACCGCACCGCGCGCGACGCACCAAACACACACGACGTAGGTAGGCATTAGGTAGGAACGCAAGAGCGCGAGAGGGTCACACCACCACCGCCTAGCACCACCACCCGCCAGCGTCAACACGCGATTACCCGGGACAAAAATACCACGTAATCGGACTGCCGCCGCCGCCACCGCGCCGATCATTCAGTACGTTTCGACGACACAACAAACATACACCATGCCCCCTCCTCCACATACACCTACGCGGCACAACAATCGACGCTGATACCATACGACGACGTATGTGCAGCGAGACATTCGCTGCCGGAGTACCACGGGACAACACCTGAGGACCCGGCAAGATTTATCCATAAAGCGGAGTCGATAATGTACCAAACGCGTATAGATAGGTCGGCCTGGACAAATATTATCGCACAGCAGCTAAAGGGTGCAGCCAGTACCTGGTGGAACACCATCAGACTACTGGACGTCACCTGGGACGAGTTCCGCGCCGAATTTTTACAAAAATTCGACAACGTGGAAATTCAGTCACGGCTGCGGGCAGAGATAGTATCCGTCCGACAAACACCAACGCAATCGCTAACGGAGTTCGTAACGCAAAAAAATCAACTTGCCCGCCGCGTCAATACTGGACTATCTGAAACACAGCTAGTAGGTACGATAGCCGGACTAACGCGCAACGAATACCGCACGCACATAAGATTGCAAAGACCAGCGACTTTCGGAGACCTCCGCCGGATCGCTGGAGTCCTGGAGTACACACCTGACGAACCAGCGACACACCCACAGCCGAAACCGGCGCAAAAAAAATTTTCCCAAACCCGCCCGCCCCAACCAACGCACCAAACGCGAACACGGGACGGTACCGCAGGCAAACCGCAACCCCCCAACCCGTGCAGATACTGCGGAGGTCCTCACTGGAACAGTGACTGCCCCGGGAACACACCGCGTTCGGGAAACGGGAAATGAGTCGGCGGACACCTGTCCACGCCGCCGCCTCCACCACACACACACACACCACCACGCCACCACACACAACGTTCGGCATTACAGACGGGGATATAACCATCAAACGCGCATCGATAAACTCGGCGTCCTCACATATATCACCCGTCCAAACATCAACAATTTCGTTAAGTAGCAGGTCACCATCACCACACCACGCGGCACCCCAAAGGTCCGCATCAACGACCCCTACTACGAAATTAACAGGTACACATACAGTACATACACATAGCACAGAGGTAACCGAAACGGATGCTCTGGTAATGGCGGTACAAACCGCTCCCCAGAACACCGATATCGCGGTTAAGAACCAGTTATCCAGCTATACATCACCACCAACGTCGAATAATGATAAACGAGTATGCCCCGACAAAATTCCGACCCCCGCGGTCGAACTCGAATTTAGGTCAGGCCCCGTAACAGCTCTACTCGACTCCCAAGCACAAAAATCGTATGTAAGCCCGAACACCGCACAAAAATTTGGCACCCCCCACCACGGACAACAAACCCAGGTACGAATGGCGGATGGTCACACCACATTGACAAGTGGTACCTCCACATTCGTAGCCAGAATCGGAGACCTCACGGTCACCTTCAACGCAGCCATTCTGGACAATTTATACTGCGACATGCTCCTAGGTCACGACTTTCTCGTACAAAACGAAGTCACCTGGGACTACACAACGAGCACTATTCATTTAGGTTCGAATAGGAGAACAACAGCGTGCTGGAAAGGTCGGATACCCACCCCCAGCCCAGCACTAGATGTCGACAAATTAACAATAAACGGTGACCACCACACACGCGCGAAACTCGCCGAAGTAGTACGTAACTATCCGGACGTATTCAACGGTAGGGTAGGCCGCACCAGGTTAATAGAACACGACATCCTCCTCAAAAATCACACACCCATAGCCCTCAAACCATATCCCTATCCACCGGTAAAACAGGCCATAATCGATACCATGATACGGGACATGGAGGAGCAGGGACTGGTAGAACAAAGCACATCCCCGTGGGCCGCACCCATCGTCTTAGCAAAAAAGAAAGACGGCTCACCCCGACTGTGCATTGATTATAGGCGGCTCAATGACATCACTGAGTCCGACGCTTACCCAATGCCCGACCTCAACACGCTGATACGTCAGATGAGAGGGGCAAAAGTGTTCAGCGTCCTTGACCTTAAGTCAGGGTACTGGCAAGTACCACTTAAACAGGACGCGCGAAAATACACGGCATTCCGGACGCGTCGGGGCCTATACCAATTCCGAGTCCTCCCCTTCGGCCTCAAAAACAGCCCCATGACCTTTGTGCGACTAATGGACGAAGTCTTGAGGGGGTACCTGGACGAGTTCGTCCGCGTATATCTAGACGATATAGTGGTGTTTTCGAACACTACGGATGAACACCAGTGCCACTTAGACAAAGTTTTAGAACGTCTGCAGAGACACGGGCTGACATGCAACCCCGAGAAATGCAGATTCGGAGCGACCGAAATCTCATTTCTTGGACATCTAGTCACCTCCGACGGTATAGACAAACAACCGGAGAAACTAGAGGGCATCATTAACTACCCCCCACCAACAAAGCTGAGGGACCTACGGAAATTCCTGGGCGTCTGCAACTGGTACAGCCAGTTCGTCGACAACTACGCGGACACCATAGCGCCCCTAACAAATAGACTCAAACAGGGAACCAAATGGTCGTGGACCGAAACCGAACAGGCGGCATTTACCAAAATAAAACGCGCCCTGTACGATTCGCCTAAACTATCGACGCCGGATTACGGAAAACCGTTTTGCCTACAGACCGATGCTAGCGAGATAGGAGCGGGTGCCGTCCTTTTCCAACGGGGTGACAGCCCGGACGAAAGGCGGATAATCGCCTACGCAAGCAAAAAGTTTAGTGATACGCAAACAAGGTACGCCGCGGTAGAACGCGAGTGCCTCGCGATAATCTGGGCAACCGATAAGTTTAGACCATACCTGGAGGCACGCCGGTTTGACCTATACACAGACAACTCAGCACTCACGTGGCTCCACCGAGCCAAAAACACAAACTCAAAATTAACCAGGTGGGCACTACAGCTGGCCAACCTGGATTACAAAACCACGCATGTGCCCGGCGTACAGAACGAAGCGCCGGACATGCTCTCCCGCAACCCGACTACCGGGCCCCCGGTAGACGAGGAACACCTCGAGGAACGACTAGTAGGAGTACCCACCTCACCACTCGTCACCACTACTAGTACACCGGCCGACAATCTGTTCGCCACGACGAACCCGGCTAACACCACTAGTCACCCCACAATCACACACGCTATGCTCGTGACATGGCAGGCCAATGACCCCAACACACGAGACATAACGCACAACATGACAACGGACGACCCAGCGCGCAATACCGGAGGTACCTCGGGAAAAAACAAACAATTCATTTTTACCGACGGTCTTCTCCGGATAAGTTTGGGCGAACACACACCCGTAGTCATCCCAAAAACCAACACGCAGAACGTGATCTGGACTTACCACGATCACGTACTCGCAAACCACCCGGGCTGGAAAGAAACGTACAGGGCGGTCAAACAACGTTTTTTTTGGAAAGGACAAAAAAAC